AAACTAAGCAAAACTTACAAATAAAAGTCAGAATGTCCTAATCATTTATCACTTTGATAAATTTATTAGTATCATTACACGTACCAAATAGTCATTTCACAAACACAAAATATAGCGATTTCGGGTTTTCCCTTTTATGTACAGTATTCTGAACTTGAGTTCCGTAGTTGAGCATTGTTGTATATATCTTGTTTTCCATCCTTCAATCCTTTGTATTTGAGTTATAGGATGTTTTGGGCAGGATTGTTACAGGTTGGGTGTGATTGGGAGCGAATGGTTGCTGCCCAAAATTTTGGTTCTTCGCTCGAGCGAGGCTTTTGTCGCTCGAGCGAGCTACGAGTTTTAGTTCCTTCGCTCGAGCCAGGGTTCCTTCGCTCGAGCGAGAGTTGAGTTTTGTGTCTGGTGGCTCGAGCGAGAAGTCTTGCGCTCGAGCGTGCGTCTGCGTCTCATTTTGACCTGAGAGTTGCATTTCTTGGCTCGAGCGAGCTTTCCTTCGCTCGAGCAAGCGAGCTGTATGTTTTGGATTTCTTCGCTCGAGCGAGCATTCTTGCACTCGAGCGTGCTTCTGGGTTGCAGACCTGAAGCTTCGAATTGTTGGCTCGAGCGAGGCTTTCTACGCTCGAGCGAGGTATCTTTGTGTTTGGTCGCTCGAACGACCACTCCTTCGCTCGAGCGAGCCTCTGTTATATCAGCACACAACAGCAGCTTCCTTTTCACTTTTTCGTCCTCTCTTTTCATACAAACCCTAGACCAGCTGCATCTTCTCTCTCTAAATACCTTCTCTCTAGGGATTGATCTACTTATAGTGTGTTTCTACCCTAACCTCTTTGTAAGAAAGATAGAGGGTGACTTGCGCTTCCTTTTAATCTGAAAATTTGTGGGTTTGGAGCACTTTGGATTTTCACCATCTTCTCCATTTGGTCTCTCCATTTCAAGGTAGGGATAACCTACTCCATCTTATGAGTTTTGACATAAGTTTTATGCATTTTGATTAGTTGGTGTAGTTTGGTAATTTTGGAAAAAGTTAGGGTTTGATTTGTAATTTATAAAAGAGAGGTTTTGTGTTTTAAAAGCTCCATGGGTATTTAAAGCCTTGGGAATGTGGGCGTGAGAGTTAAATTGGTGGAATTTGGTCTTAGGATCATTATTTGAGAAAAAGGGAATATGCCCTAATTATGTTCTAATAAATTAATTTGGAGAAATGTGGAATTGAGTTGAAATCCATGAAATTGAGGAATTATGGGATGGAATGGTGTAGTTGGATTAATTTATCACTCACCTATGAAAATGTTGGGAATATATCCGTTTGATGCATTTATTATCTGTTTAGAAATAACTGCTTTGGGCTATCGGTGGAGGATAGTCTTGATTGTTGTAGACATTGTATGTTGATTAGGAAAAATTGAAACTAATCACGTTGAATAGGTCATTGAATATGACGGTTGAATTAATACAACAAACATGTGTATTGATTAATTAGTGTATATGACAAGTGTTAAATACATTGTATATGCATATTGTTTGGGAGGAGATAGGGGATGTACTCCATGGTTTGAGAGAAGATAGGGGATGGACTCTCAAACCTGTTTGGGAGAAGATAGGGGATGGACTCCATTGATACAGCAAATATGTGTATCACTTGAAGTGTTAATACAACAAATGTGTGTATTAAATTAAAATATTGGAAGTGTTTTTAATGTGAGTTGTAGACTCATTTGAATTGTGAATAAAGGAAATGTTTTAATATGGGATGTATTCCCATTTAATTGTTTGGCCAGGTTCTGAGCCATGTTTATGAAATGATTTGGATAAGTAAAGGTAAGTGGAATATAACATGGACATGATTGTCATGGAACGGTATTGTGATGTAATTTGGTTTATAAGTGTTAACCATCTACCAAATGCTATTGTTTTAGTCATTGCTCACATTTGGTTTAGTATATCTCTACTGGGCTATGGCTCACCCTATATGAAACATCATTTTCAGGTTCAGGTGACATGCTACCTCCAAGGACATAGCTTGGGAGGTTCTGGGAGTTGAAGACTCTTTTTGATTACTTTGTTATTTGGGTATTACATGTAAATTCAAGCCAAGGGCTTAATATGTATTTGAGTTAGTACTCTCTTTTTGTAACCAAGTGTTGGCTTGGAAAGTTGTAAGCCCGTAGGGCATTTACTTTTATTGTCAACATGTAATATCTTTTGTAAGAATACTCTGATAAATAGAAATATGCCTTATTCTCTTATGTCTATGCATGTCAAGAATGTGGGTTATATGTATTATTTTGAGGGCGTTACACAAAATATATGTATAAAGTTTCAAAACTTTCTCATTATTAAAATAAGAGGCAAATACGTAAAAATAATAAATAAATAAATAAATCACTTTAGATTTATGAGTAAATAAATCCAATCAATAAGACTTATTACTAATTATCCCATATATTAAGGCCCTATATAACTTCAACATTCTTTTCCCCCAAAAATAAGGCCATGCTGGTTCATATGGAAAAACAAACCCCAGATGACCCACATTTTTTGAAAATCTACAGGTTGTGGTTAAGATTCCATAAAACTCTTACATTTGTTTTCGGTAAATTACACTCACCTCTCTTGAGATTTTAAGAAAATACATTTAGTTTTATACTTTTGACATAATTATGCTGACCTTCTTAAGTCCTTAATTTACATAACACTTTTACTGATACAACTCTCTGCTAAGATCGAACAAAGGAAAGTTCAAAAGTTTGAAAAAAGTTACGCCAAACCAAACAGATTCCCTCTCTCTAGCTTGCTTTCTTCAATTCATGTTTGAATAATTTCTAACTTTGGAAGAAATTGTTGATTTTTTTTATTTAATTTTAAAAATTAAAATCACTAGATGATAACAGTTTCAAAAATATTTTATAATAACAGTAAATTAGTCATATTATCAATTAAAAAAAATGTTAGCAAAACTAGAATATGAATTAATTAGTAAATTTTCATCACAAAATCACAAAATAATAAATTATAAAAAATATTAAAAAATAAAAATGTCTCAATCAAATTTATCAATTTCGATCTCAAACTACCTCAAAAGGCTTTCAATAAGACTGGATGGCTAAGGGCACTAGTTGCCTGCATAGTACAACACCACTTTGTAAGAAACAGAGCAAGCAAATTCGAAATACAGAATAAGAGTAGAAAAGCTAATGTGGAATTTAGAGCTTATAAATGTATAAATAATATGAGCAACTCAAATGTCAAATAAATTCAAGATAAATAAGTAGAAATTATAGCGATCCCGGTTTTTCCTTCCTTTGTATACTGTATTCTAGACTTGGTTTCGTGGATTTGTTTCGTATCATTATCACTTCTAGCCTTTACTCTTTGTATTTGAGTCTTGGGTTGTGATGGGCAAGTTTAAAACAGGTTGGTTGCACTTTGAAACCAAAAGGTGATGCCCAGATTTGGCCTTCACGCTCGAGCGTAAGTTTTAACGCTCGAGCGGGCTCTTCGTTGTTGCTTCTCCCGACTACATCAGTCCGTGATTTCACTTTTTGGATCACTTTTTGACCTACTTTTTCTTTCTTAACTTTTAAAAACCGCCATTTGAGAGTTTCTCTCTCTACTCTCACCTTCTCTCTAAGATTTGATCTATTCCTTGGGGTCTTCTACCCTAGTTCCTTTGAAAGAAAGGTAGAGCTTCGCGAGAGCTTTCTTTTAATCTGAAAAAGAGAGGATTTGGAGCACTTTGGAATTTGAGTCTTCATCTCCGTCTTCTCCATTCGGGTTATTTTCTTCAAGGTAGGGATTTCCTACTCCATCTTATAAGTTTTGTTCTAAGTTTTGGTATTTTGATATGTTGGGAATACTTTGGTAATTTTGGGAAAAACCCTAGTTGTAATAATGAATTAATTTGTATAATTAATTTCAGGAAATTGGGAAATTTGGTTAAATTCATGAAATTGAAGAATTCATTGATTAAATGGTGTAGTTGTATAATTTAAATCACTGACCTATTGAATTGTTGATGTATTTATTTCCAGTCTAGAAATAACTGCTTGGGCTATCGGTGGAGGATAGTCGTGTTTGTTGTAGACATTGTATGTGGATTAGGGAAAATTGAAACTAATCAAATTGTTTAAGTCATAAATTTAGACTATTGAATTAATACAGAATATACATGTATTGATTGAGCATTGCATATGCATATTGTTTGGGAGGAGATAGGGGATGTACTCCACGGTTTAGGGGAAGATAGGGGATGGACCTCTAAACCGGATTTTTGTTTGGGAGGAGATAGGGGATGGACTCCATTCAATTGGGTGGCAGACCTGGTGCATCTGGTTTGAGGCCGATTCAGGGTCAGCAGCCAGCTCAGTCGGGTCAGGCCTCGAGGGCCAATCAGGGGGTCTCGTTTGTTTTGTTGATATTGGAAGTAATGTGAATGTGATATATAGTTCATTGTTGTAAGTTTGGCCAGGTTCTGAGCCATATTGATAATAAAGGGGAATTGAAATATGTCATAGACATTAGTGTCTTGAGACGGTATTAAGTCACAATCGATTATCTTGGTTAACCATCTATTGAATGCTATAGCTTTATTCAATGCTTATATTTGGTTTAGTATTTTTCTACTGGGCTGTGGCTCACCCTTTATGGGAACATCATTTTCAGGTTCAGGTGATAAGCTACCTCCAAGGACTTAGCTTGGAAGGAATTGGAGTTGAAGACTCTGTTTAGTTTAGTTGTTATTTATTTATTTGATATTACATGTAAACATTCAAGCCTAGGGCTTTATTTGTATTTGAGTTAGAACTCATATTTTGTGTCCAAGTGTTGGCTTGGAAAGATGTTAGCCCGTAAGGCATTTAATTTGATGTTACATGTAATGTTTTTCAATAAGAATACTCTGATGAATAGAATAACGGTTGGTTTTCTTTTATTAATGCATGTCAATGTTATGTATATTATGGGTTTATTTTGGGGGCGTTACAGAAATTTTTTATTGAAACTATCCATTTAAAAAGCTTGCAAAAATCCAATGAAAACAGCCCACGAAATACACCAACATAAAGATTTAAGATGGTTTTAAATTAGCCATTAAAAAGTTTTGTAAAATGCTAATTAGTATAAAAGAGCAGAAAAATAGACTAGAAAGGGGGGTTGAAATTGAACAATCTAAGAAGAAAATGGAAAACAAGAACAACATATAGTCCAAGGATAGAAGGCAAATACTCAAGAGGTTGAGTAGTTGATATCAGTTGTCCTAATGTGATCATGTGGAATTCATTTTGCAGATGTGACCTTCGATCATCTGATAGCTTCATGGCAACTTGTCTCACGGTTGGCCGAGATAGTGGATTGGCTTGAGAGCATTCAAATGCTAGTTGTGCAACCACAAATACTTGCTCTGCCACTTGATTCTCAGGTGCTGCGAGATGTTGATCCAACACATCCTTTAATAATATCCCATGTACAGTTGATGTGGATGAGGAAGAGGATGACGATGATGACAGAGAGTAGATTAGATCACCCGGATGCTTCCCCATAATCACGTCCAATGTGAGAACCCCAAAACTATAAACATCGCACCTCTCATTCACTTCCATTGTATAAGCAAGTTCTACCAAATGAAACAAATAACCAAGAGAAGAAAATAGTAATTAAAAAAAAAACAAGAAACATGCACATGCTCCATATCAAAATAACAATTAGAAGTTCAATGACCCTTTCAATTCGAGTGAAATAACATCCAAGATTAGAATCTCTCAATATGCAATGATTGATAAAATAAAATGAACATTACATACCGGAAGCAGTGTACCCAAAGGTCCCTGCAAATGATGTCCAATTGGATGAGTCAGGCTTCAAAAATCTAGCTGTGCCGAAATCGGATATGTGAGCCACAGACTCTAAATCAAGCAAAACATTCTTGCTTGATATGTCTCGATGGATGATTGTTGGAGAACAGTCGTGGTGCATATAAGACAAAGCATTTGCCACATCTTTGACAACATTCACTCTCTTAATCCAATCAAAGTATAATACATGACCCTCCTTGCTCAATATCTTTCCCAAGCTTCCCCCTTCCAAGAACTCATAAACCAAAAACGAGTGCCTTCGGTGTGAACAATAGCCATAAAGTTTTACAATATTGTGATGGCGAATCTTTGTTAATGCACGGATGTCACTCGTAAAGCCTTTTAGATTAGCCAAGTCACCATCTGGTGATACATGAAGTTTCTTCACAGCAACTACCTGACCACTTGTGAGAGCAGCTCGGTAAACAGTACCGCATCCTCCCTCCCCAATACAATGTTTGGTACTAAAGTTTTTAGTCGCTTCAATGATGCTTTCATAAACCATTTTTCCGTCATAGCTCCAAATTTCAAAGAAATTTTCATTATTTACTTGTCTTGGCTCATTTTTCGTGTTCCTACTTTTTTTACAAAAAATCAAGAGCACTACTCCAACAACCATTAATGAAAGAAATAGAAATCCAAAAAGAAGAACAATTAGTAACACAACTCTGTTACTCTTTTTCTTAGCTACCCCATTGTTCATTTTTGCTAGACAAGTTTTCAAACCAGTAGCATTACCACATAAACCTTTATTACCTTTGAGTGCCTCAAATGGAGCCTCACGGAAGGCTTTCATTTTAGGAATAGGACCCTCCAACTGATTGAAAGATACATCTACCAATGTCAAACTTAACATATTATCGAAAGATGATGGAATGGAACCAGAGAGTTCATTATGGGAGAGATTTAGTATTTCTAATATTTGCAATTCTCCAATCTGCTGTGGTATCGTACCTATTAGCAAATTGTGAACAAGATCAAGACTTTGAAGGTTATACAGATGACCTATTTCAGCAGAAATGCTTTCCCCAAACTATTATTGCTCAAATTCAAGTTCAAAAGTTTCTTGCACTCCGCTAGTCCTCCAGGGATTGAACCATTTAGATCATTTCTTGCCAAGTTAAGATATTGTAGATTGGTCAACTTGCTGAATTCTGGAGGAATATTCCCTGATAGATGGTTATCATCCAACCTAAGGTTGAACAGTGAAACCATCATTCCTAATTTCACTGGGATCTGTCCAACTAGGTGATTTGTAGAGAGGTCAAGAAGACATAGTTGAGTTGAATCCATTATTTCAGGTGGTATCTCACCAGAAATATTATTGTTTGATATTTTGAGACTAGTTAAATTATGGCACTTTTTCCATTTTTGGGATACCTCACCATAGAAATTGTTATGACTCAAATCGATGTAATCCAAGTTTGGGTATATGCCAAAATCTTCTGATATATTTCCCGAAAGTTGGTTTCCCTCAAGCCTAACTCTGTATAAGCTAGAGCAATTTATCAAGCTTTTGGGGATGGGACCTGTGAGATTGTTGTCAGCTACAATTAAACGTGTAAGTAATCCACCAAAGCATAGGTTTTCTGGTAAATGACCAACGAGCTTGTTGTAAGCTATCTAGAAAATTTTCAAATGTGTAAGATTGTTCAATCTTGGAGGAATAGAGCCAGTTAGTTGGTTATCAATGAATGACAAGTAACCGAGTTGTTTTAAATTTCCTATCTCTAACGGAATGGAGCCTGATAATGGATTTAGACTTAAGTCTAAACCCGTCAACTTTGTCAAGTTTCCAATTGTCGAAGGAATGAGTCCTGAAAGCATATTTTCAGCAAGCTTCAAAGTGGTTAACACGCCTAAGTTTCCTATAGATGCAGGGATTAAACCATCGAGGTTGTTTATTTCGAGTTCAAGTTCAACGAGAGACCTCAGCATCCCAATTTCTTGAGGGATTGATCCAGAAAGTTGGTTGTCATAAAGGTACAGAATGGTTAAGTTGCCCAAGTTCCCTATAGATGCAGGGATTGAACCCGTGAGTTTGTTCATTGAGAGTTCGAGATCAACGAGAGACCTTAGCATCCCAATTTCTAGAGGGATTGATCTAGAAAGTTGGTTGTCATAAAAGTAAAAAATGGTTATGTTGGCCAAGTTTCCAATTGAAGAAGGGATTGAACCCGTGAGATTGCTAGTTTGCAAGGCAAGCTCAGTGAGAGAGCTGAGCAATCCTATTTGTTGAGGGCTGGAGCCTCCGATTGGGTTTCTATTCAGGTACAAGCTCCTTAGATTAGTTAGTTGGCCTATTTCGGTCTGAATTGTTCCAGAGAGATTGTTGAGAGACAAGCTAAGGTAGGTGAGTCTCCAAAGGCTACCAATATGGAAGGGGATGGTCCCATAAAGTGAGTTGCTAAAAAGTTCAAGCGTGAGGAGATGAGGAAAGGATGAGAAATTAAGATTAGAAAGAGTACCTTTCAAACCATAACTCTAAAGGTCTATATGGGCAACTCTATCGGCCTTGTTGCAACGAATTCCAAGCCAAGTGCAATGGTTGGTTCCAACCCAGGAGGACAAGAGAGTTTGAGTTTGGTTGGGAAGGCTAGCTTTCTACGTCAAGAGAGCTGTGGGTTCAGCTGCTTGTTTTCTAGTTAAGGAAGAAGCAAAAGCAGCATAATCAAAAAAAGTAGGCAATGCAAGGATGATGAGGTAGAGTAAAAGGGCTGGGAAAGAAAGAAAGCGGTTGGGAAGTGTATTGGGGAAGAATGTCATTGTAGGCTTATTTGTTATTAATAGAATAGAAAGCTATGAAAAACAGTAATAGGATGGAGGGATGAAGAGTTGCAAGAGCATGGAGAGGTATTTATAGATAATACAACTTGGAAAATTATTAGTTGGGTTTGAAAATTCTATTCACTGTGTTTCGTTTTAATTTTTTGAAAATTAAGTTTTTTATTTTTTTTATTTTTTATTTTTTGTTTTTAAATTTTTTTTTTATTTTTTTAAATGCACATTCCTTAGATGTATCTAAAAAATAAAATATTTGTAAAAAAATATTTAAAAAAATTAATAAATATATTAAAATACGAAAAATGTATTGAATTTTTATTTATTTTTTTGTATTTTTATTATTTAATGAATTTTAAAAATAATTTCACAAGTATTATACTTTTTAAGTGTATATTTATGTTAGGTGTATGTAAAAATTAAAAAAAATATTAAAAAATTCAATATAAACAAAAAAAATACGAAAAATAAAAAATTTTAAATTCTGAAAAATGAATTTAAAAAACTCAAACCAAACAAGGTTATTGCAATTCCTTTCAATAGTTTTGGTTTGGATCCTCCACTAGAAAGTCTGGGTTCAATTTTGGCAAATTGATGACCAATAAGATCATGCCAGATCGATGCAAAAGAAAGAGATGGATCATAATCTAAGCACCAGATTAAAGGATATCTAAGAAATTCTGCCTATAGTACAACATAGATCTGGACCATAATCTTACCATTTGCAAATAAGGTATTACATAAATTTATTATTATAAGCAGTTATTTGTATATAACTGTCATGGAAAATTCACTTCATATATGCAAATTATGAAAAAAATAGTGTTATTTTGATAAATAAAACTAATTTTTGTATATGTTTTGTTTTAAAATAAGAAGTAATCAGCATCATTTTGTATCACTTTTTTTATTTGCATATCATTACTTAACTATTATTCATGTATTTATTTTGGTGCACTTACCAATTGGGCTTATTAACTAGACTTATTTACTTATAAGTCTTATAAATTTATCACTATAAATTTATTCATAAAAACAAGAGAAATCGAAATACAGAATAAGAGTAGAAAAGCTAATGTGGAATTTAGAGCTTATAAATGTATAAATAATATGAGCAACTCAAATGTCAAATAAATTCAAGATAAATAAGTAGAAATTTTTTATTGAAACTATCCAATTAGGCTTATTAACTAGACTTATTTATTTATAAGTCTTATAAATTTATCACTATAAATTTATTCATAAAAACAAGAGAAACTAATAAATTTATCAATAGAACTTTAACTGGTAATAAGTCTCACAAGTAAAACTTACTAGTAATTTACCTATTTTGGAATCTATATGATAATAGTATATTAAATGTAATAGAATTCACTACTTCTAATAACTTTTAAACCGGCCCATAAGCTGGTGACTGCTTTAACATGTTTGCTTAGTTAATGATCATTATCCATAATTAACTATTATTTACATTTATATTTTTTAAATATATAAATAACATATTTATCTTATTTTTTATAAATATTTTTACGTTAATTAATATATAAATAATAAATATTAAACGAGCCAGCTAACGAGTCGAACTTTAGAATGTGTGGGCTTGTTTATTAAAAATTTAACGAGCTCGAGCTCGAACGCAAAAGAAATTAACGAACCGAGTTCGAACGAGCTCTTACCGAGTCGAACTCAAGTTTGTTCACAAACGGCTCTATTCATTTGTAGCCCTAGCCGTCATGAACAATTTCAATAGAGATTTCCCATACTTGTAATAACTTTTAATCATATTAAATTTGGATGATTAATTCTGATTATTATTAGAATTATCTTACTCTAGGACTGGCAGTCATGAATAATTTCAAAAGTGATTTCCCATGCTTTAATATCTTTTAAAAGGAATTTTTTTAAAAATTATATATATAAAATCTTTGGGTACAATGGTATTGCTTAAGGGAGTGGAAATAGAGCAAGAATTAAACCATTGGCATCCTCGTGATATGGGTCAATTGATAGATCCTACAATGTATAAAGATTTTAGGGGTTAATTTTCTTCGTTTGAAAAAGTAAAAAATAAACAATAATAAAAAATATATATTATTATTCAAGTTTAAAAATTAGACTCACTTTTAAAGTTCAATAATGTGACAATCAATTAAAATATCTCAGGCAACACAATCTCTCTCATATCTTCTCTAATTATCAACCAATCATATCATTTGCACATCATTAAATCTAGAAAGTGAGCTTTTATATCATTTTTCAACCAAAAAAAAAATTCAAAAATTGTTAGGAGATCAATTCTCTCTCATATCTTCTTTAATTATCAAGCAATCATATCATTTGCACATCATTAAATCTAGAAAGTGAGCTTTCATATCATTTTTCAACCAAAAAAAATTCAAAAATTGTTAGGAGATCAATTCTAGCCCCTATATGAGGGGTCATGAAAAACTCGTTGCAAAAATTCAAAAAAAAAAAAAACCTTTAGAAACAAGATTTGAAATATGTCGCTAATAAATGCACTTTTAGATATAAAACAATTTTAGCCCAAAAGGTTTATTTTTAAGATAAAAATTTTGGCTCCGAAAGAATAATTAATCACAAAATGTCCAATTTTATCTTAAAAATACAATAATGACACTTTGTATAGCGATCCCGGTATTCCCTGTTGTTGTATAACTATAATCTGGACTCAGTTTCGTAGATTCGTTGTTGTCTTATCCTCATTTCTATCCCTTACTCTTTGTTTTAGAGTTTTGGGTTGCGTTGGGCGAGTTGGGAATTAGTTGGTTGTGTTTTAAAGCTTTGAAATTTTGCCCAAGGTTTTGGTCTATCCTCTCGAGCGGCGGTTTTACGCTCGAGCGGGCTTTTGTTGCTGCCTTTCCGCTCGAGCGGCAGTTTGGACGCTCGAGCGTGATTTTCCATCTCCCAGTACTTTACTCTGCAGTTAGTCCGCTCGAGCGGTAGTTTTTACGCTCGAGCGTGATCCTTTGATTTTTGTCCATACGCTCGAGCGGGGAGTTTTACGCTCGAGCGGAGAGTAGACTGCAAAACTTCTGGAAGTGTGCAATCAGCGCTCGAGCGGCTCTTTTCACGCTCGAGCGTGAGTCTGTGTCTTACGCTCGAGCGGGGTTTTCTACGCTCGAGCGGAGAGTCGACTACATCAGTCCGTGATTTCACTTTTTGGATCACTTTTTGACCTACTTTTCCTCTCTTAACTTTTAAAAACCGCCCCTTGAGAGTCTCTCTCTCTACTCTTACCTTCTCTCCAAGATTTGATCTATTTCCGGTGGTCTTCTACCCTAGTTCCTTTGGAAGAAAGGTAGAGCTTCACGAGATCTTTGTTTTAATCTGAGAAACTTGGGATTTGGAGCACGTGGGTCTTTGGTCTTCATCTCCGTCTTCTCCATTCGGGTTATTTTCTTCGAGGTAGGGATTTCCTACTGATTCAGTTGATCATCTGGCCGATTTATATATTCGGGACATAGTGAGGTTACACGGGGTTCCAGTGACGATCGTTTCAGATAGAGACCCTCGTTTTACTGCCAGATTATGGCAGAGCTTGCAGAGCGCCTTAGGTACTAAGTTCACCGAGCGGGTACGTGTCCTAGCCAAGGTAATATTGGAGCGAGAACTGTTTTACTTGC